CATCCATGACTTCACTACTTCCTTTCCTACTTGCGTCACCCCCGGGGGGCCTGACACCAACGTTCCGAAGGGGGACCTTGTATATGTGTATTATATCGGTGTAGACTTCGAATAGATTACGGCATCGAAGCATGACCGAAGCACGTTTGTTGCGCTCGATTCGTTCGCGAATACGTAGACGGGACATGGTAGCCTCGCCCACACACTCAACAGTGGGAGCGCTGCAGAGCGCTCTGTCAAGAGACAGCTGTTCCCGCAGCAGGGCAGCAAGCAGCCACGGAAGGAGGGGGACTGTCATGCCACTGTCCACCCCGGCCAATCACTTTNTTCCGCACCGGCCAATCACGTTCGCCCCAGCCTGCAGACCTTAAATCGAAAAATATTAACCTGCAGGAAGTTTCCAGGAAACTTTCTTTACTCAAAATATGTTTCCTTATTGCAGTAAATTTGGAGCCCCAGTCCGAAACTGTGAAATACTGCAAAATGTTCAATTTGGCGCACTATTATCCCGAGGGTTCAAGCTTAAATAAGTGTCGCTTCTGGGCGACTACACCAATTGTGTGCCTGCGTCTGTCGTCTTCAACAACTCCTAGGAGACCAGGTTGGATATTTTTCTAACGATCTCTAAGGAATAGATGAAAGAACTCCCGAAATTCCCACCGGACTGACGAAATGCTTGGGAAGGTAATAATCCTGTCACACGCAACAAAGGCGGCGGTCCGTACACGCACACGCGCGATAGTCACGGCGAGAGGAAAACACCCCGCGCATTGTGCAAAATTCCAGGTAAGTTCTGCAAGCACTCACGAACGAACGTCACGACGTTTAAGGTGCAAAGATGCGACCGCGATGACATTGATTGACCATGTCCTCTTGCTTCGCCCCACGGAAGCAAGTCACCTACTGCGCCACTCCCAAAGTGGTGCCTTGTATCGCGTACCAATTCTCAAGTGAAAATACATGTTCTTGATTCACTGGCCATTGTTCCTCTGCCCTTGGATTTTGATTCGGGGCATGTGTAGTGAGACTCTACCCATACGGCAAATTAACAGGATAACTTGTGAAGTCGAGATCAAAAATCGAACATTCGACCGGGAACATAGTAAAACCGTACCTGTTCCATCGGTTGCCCGGGTGGTGTAGTGGGCAAGACACAGCTTTCCTGAGTGCCAGCTTATGATTACGAGTCTCGAAATGTGAGGTTTTTTTCTCATCAATTATATCCTGGTATCCGTTGGAAGCGACGCGTTCCGAAGCTCGCGAATAATAAATACTTGACCACTTCATAGTAAGTCGGGAGGAATGCAATTGCTGTACCCTTCTCGCGAAAAATATCTCAGGCAAGACCCGCACCAAAGGGAGTCCCACCCCGCCCCATACTATGTGACCCCGGTTGAATCGCCTAGCTAGTACAAGTGGAGGATGGGTGTGTGTGCGAAAGCGGCAACAGAATCCAATCATGGGTGAAAAAAACAGAAAAAATTGTCAAACGTTCTGACTGTCGGAGATGCCTTCATGTCGCTACTCTTCCATCTATCTGTCACCTACCTACAGACCGCTCGATGAAAGCAGCACGTCGGCATGAAGTTGACATCCAGCAGAGCACAAATCCGTTTCGTTGATCGAGTTATTTCTACACAACACTCAAGAGAGCCGTTGAAGAGTTTCCTTGTTGATCAAGAGGCCAGCTTTCCTCGGCTTTTTTCCATACTAGACCCAAGCATTTCATCGCGCAAAGCTCGTCGCAACGAATACCTGCGAGATCAAGATCTTCCGACCCACCGGATCACCGCCCACATCCGGGACTTTAGATCGCTGTCTGGGATGCCCTGCTCTCGCGGTCATGGTTCAATGATGAATTGCATCATTGACACGGGCACTTTCGGTTCTTCCGAATTGTACTCGATTGATTCTCGATCTCATTCCAACCCCACTCGGGTGGCTGAGAGTACATAGAGCCAACTCGAAACCAAAACTCAAAGGTCGAATTCGACCAAATGTCGCATGTTCTTCTCAAGGAAAAATCTCAACCCTGTCCACTGTGAATGTATCACCCATAGGCACGTGATCTACGAACGTATCGATACCACTCTTAGCAATTGGGTCTTCGTGACAGGTGACACGAGTGTTTCAACGTGAAACACTTGGGGGGTTTCCGGAGAAACCTCTTGACACATGTATATCCCTCCCACATATGTGCAAACCATTTCCTTGTGTTGCAACGAGATAGGTTCCCTGTCTACATCAAACTCCGCGTAGCTGACACAACCAGGAGAACAACAAGGCCAGGGTCCCACCAAAACACCGACAAATCACACGAAGCGAATCAAATTTGGACGGCAGCAAGCCTAGGGAAGGACACGAGCACACTAGAGTGGGTTGTGATCACAGCAAGGCACCGCCGTTGCGACCACACACGTTTGTTTGAGGCATCATAGAGACAACGCCAATACTTCGGGCAATGCCCTGCCTAAATCATACAGTTACAATATTTTTCATGGTGTGAAAGCAATCCAGTAGCGATAGGAGACAACTGCAAGATGTGTGCGTGCGTGGAAGAAGTGCCGCTCGTCCGTTTTCTGCAATGGTAGAGCTGATGCCAGCAACACAAACTGCCACTCACAAACAGACCCATACAAGCAAGGCAAGAGCGTGCCATCCATTCTATCGTATCTACACACCCATCTACAAATCACTCCAGATACGAGCAGCCGCCCCGCGCAGGGGGGGGCATACCTGGGCGCAGAAGGAAAACTCTGTGGTACACCCTATCCACAGGACAGTTAGAATAGTATTAGTATAACAGAACATCAAAATTGCAACGAGTAGCTCTACGAGGAGTTACGCCGGCTCCTTTCTCAAGTTCACGACTGCACACCCGGCCCACGGGATAATAACTATTCGCGGGCGAAGCATCAATCTAGTGCCCTAGGGTGGAGACAAGGCTCGAAACCCGACAGCGAACCATGATAATAGGGTAACGCAGAGCTCTATTGTTGGCGTGTTCGGAGAGTTCCAAGAGTTCAGCTACCCCGTGAAAATTGCAGTCGCAATATCAGCACGATGTCCCTAGAACGCCGTTCGTTCTGGTGTTTACCTGCGTGGCACCAAAAAGGGAAAAACAACTATCAGCTCCAAAAATTGTCCACCAAAACATCCGTCGACGGGCTGAAGGCTCCGCCGCGCTTGGTTGGATGGCAACTTGCGTGTTGCGGATGAATCGTGCTTTTAATGACAGGCGGGAATGTCAAATCGATTATTTCGATCCACGATGTGCGGCGAACTTGATACAGCAAACATTTCCTCCGTATTCATGCGAAGCACTTTCATGTTAAAGTTTAAACTTATCTCAGTCTCGTCGCCTTCGAAGAAACAATACGGTTTAGCGACAACAACGGCCAAACTGCGACACCCAGGCGCTGACGCAAAACGGGTGCCGACAGTAGTTACATTTTGCACACATCGAAAGGCGTTGCTTGCAATGAGCAAATCGAGTGTCAGGCAGATACATCTACTCGATAAGCTTCTCAGTGGCGACTGAGTGCGACGAACCAAGAAGCGTGTCCATTTTCTATACTATTGGAGTGTTGCACGTTTCGTGTACGTCCTGTTTCTCAACCGCGTACCTAGCTGTCTTGCAAACATTTGCCATGGTAGAAACTATGACTTACCCCTTGCTTACCTCCGGGCTTTGTTGTGTCTTCAAAATTTAGATGATGCACGGGGCTGCGTTGGTGTCCTCGCAGTACACGTTGCCAGCCAATACTTGTGAGCTGCAGCAAGATTCACCGTCGAGCTCGAAAGCTGAGCCAGCCGAACCGCATCCCGTCCCCCCGCACTGACCACAGGCAAGCGGACAGCAAACTTCGCCCTTGTGGTCGATGCCTTCGATGCCGTTGCTGCACGTCTGTGTATCGTCAGCTGATTCTTCAGATATTCCGGAATCGACATCATCTGTCCGGAGGAAACACACACAGCAGGGTCGAGTATTCATGTGCGGGCGGTGTTCTCTGCCAAACCCAGGTGTAATGGCGTGTCACTATTTCTCTGCTGTCGATTTTATCTCATGCGAACAGACTCTGAATGAACCGGAATTTTGTCAGGGCTTGCACTCACCGGTGTCCGGCGCGCTGCCGATGATGCATGGGGCTTCGTTAGTGTCATCACAGTACACGCCCAGAGACTTAACACCGCCCCCACAGCATGACTCCGAGCCGAGACCATTCGCAGATCCAGCCGTACTGCATCCATCCCCTCCGCACTGACCACAGCCGATCGGACAGCAGACGACCCCGTTTCCGTCGATGCCTTCGGTACCGTCGCTGCACATCTGTGTGTCGTCAGCTGATTCGATATCCCCATCATCTGTCGGGAGAACACGGGGGCGAGGGTTCTTGAGCGAGGAGTTTGCTCTTACCGATATGGGGTAGCCTCGCACTATTCTTTGCAACCCATTTTGTTTGCGTAAGCCTCTGAATGAATGTAGGAATATGGTAGGATTTTGCCACGGCTGCCACTCACCGCCACCCGGGCGACCACCGACCATGCACGGGGCTGTGTTCGTCTTATCAGAGCAACTCTCGAGCCAGAATATCAGTACTGCATGGAAATTCACTTTCGAGACCGTTGGCAACACTACTGAAAAGTAGATGTAGCATCCCGTTAAGCAGCATTGACCACAAGCAAGCGAACAGGATGCTGTGTCAATACGGCCGGTGTCTTGAATGCCGTTGCTGAATGTGTCGGCTGCCGTGACTCTATCTGAGTCATCTGTCCGCAGTACCCACCCCACACATCGTTGGGGGTAGAGGATTCAATGCAAGCGGCGCTCTCTCTGTGCAGGGAAGGATACGTTGCGTGTCTCTATTCCTCTGCCGCTAATACTACAATATATGCCGCAGTCTTTATGCAAACGCTATGGATGAATTTATCTCCCTGACAGAGCTTCCACTCACCGGTGTCCGGCGCGCTGCCGATGATGCATGGGGCTTCGTTGGTGTCATCACAGTACACGCCCAGAGACTTAACACCGCCCCCACAGCATGACTCCGAGCCGAGACCATTCGCAGATCCAGCCGTACTGCATCCATCCCCTCCGCACTGACCACAGCCGATCGGACAGCAGACGACCCCGTTTCCGTCGATGCCTTCGGTACCGTCGCTGCACATCTGTGTGTCGTCAGCTGATTCGATATCCCCATCATCTGTCGGGAGAACACGGGGGCGAGGGTTCTTGAGCGAGGAGTTTGCTCTTACCGATATGGGGTAGCCTCGCACTATTCTTTGCAACCCATTTTGTTTGCGTAAGCCTCTGAATGAATGTAGGAATATGGTAGGATTTTGCCACGGCTGCCACTCACCGCCACCCGGGCGACCACCGACCATGCACGGGGCTGTGTTCGTCTTATCAGAGCAACTCTCGAGCCAGAATATCAGTACTGCATGGAAATTCACTTTCGAGACCGTTGGCAACACTACTGAAAAGTAGATGTAGCATCCCGTTAAGCAGCATTGACCACAAGCAAGCGAACAGGATGCTGTGTCAATACGGCCGGTGTCTTGAATGCCGTTGCTGAATGTGTCGGCTGCCGTGACTCTATCTGAGTCATCTGTCCGCAGTACCCACCCCACACATCGTTGGGGGTAGAGGATTCAATGCAAGCGGCGCTCTCTCTGTGCAGGGAAGGATACGTTGCGTGTCTCTATTCCTCTGCCGCTAATACTACAATATATGCCGCAGTCTTTATGCAAACGCTATGGATGAATTTATCTCCCTGACAGAGCTTCCACTCACCGGTGTCCGGCGCGCTGCCGATGATGCATGGGGCTTCGTTGGTGTCATCACAGTACACGCCCAGAGACTTAACACCGCCCCCACAGCATGACTCCGAGCCGAGACCATTCGCAGATCCAGCCGTACTGCATCCATCCCCTCCGCACTGACCACAGCCGATCGGACAGCAGACGACCCCGTTTCCGTCGATGCCTTCGGTACCGTCGCTGCACGTCTGTGTGTCGTCAGCTGATTCGATATCCCCATCATCTGTCGGGAGAACACGGGGGCTAGTGTTCTTGAGCGAGGAGTTTGCTCTTGCCGATATCGGGTAGCCTCGCACTATTCTTTGCAACCCATTTTGTTTGCGTAAGCCTCTGAATGAATGGTAGGAATATGGTAGGATTTTGCCACGGCTGCCACTCACCGCCACCCGGGCGACCACCGATCATGCACGGGGCTGTGTTCGTCTTATCAGAGCAACTCTCGAGCCAGAATATCAGTGCTGCATGGAAATTCACTTCCGAGACCGTTGGCAACACTACTGAACTGTAGATGTGGCATCCCGTGACCACAAGCAAGCGAACAGGATGCTGTGCCAATACGGCCGGTGTCTTGAATGCCGTTGCTGAATGTGTCGGCTGCCGTGACTCTATCTGAGTCGTCATCTGTCCGCAGTACCCATCGCACACATCGTTGGGGGTAGAGGATTCAATGCAAGCGGCGCTCTCTCTGTGCAGGGAAGGATACGTTGCGTGTCTCTATTCCTCTGCCGCTAATACTACAATATATGCCGCAGTCTTATGCATACGCTATGGATGAACTTATCTCCCTGACAGAGCTTCCACTCACCGGTGTCCGGCGCGCTGCCGATGATGCATGGGGCTTCGTTGGTGTCATCACAGTACACGCCCAGAGACTTAACACCGCCCCCACAGCATGACTCCGAGCCGAGACCATTCGCAGATCCAGCCGTACTGCATCCATCCCCTCCGCACTGACCACAGCCGATCGGACAGCAGACGACCCCGTTTCCGTCGATGCCTTCGGTACCGTCGCTGCACGTCTGTGTGTCGTCAGCTGATTCGATATCCCCATCATCTGTCGGGAGGAAACACGTCGCATAGCGACGCTCGTCAACGATCCATGTGCGTGCGACGCATTCTTGCAAAGATTCTTGCATAGAGTTACAGTGTGCCAAAGGTTCTGAATGAGTGGTAGATTATCCCAGGGCTTCCACTCACCGGTGTCTGGCGCGCTGCCGATGATGCATGGGGCTTCGTTGGTGTCATCACAGTACACGCCCAGAGACTTAACACCGCCCCCACAGCATGACTCCGAGCCGAGACCATTCGCAGATCCAGCCGTACTGCATCCATCCCCTCCGCACTGACCACAGCCGATCGGACAGCAGACGACCCCGTTTCCGTCGATGCCTTCGGTACCGTCGCTGCACGTCTGTGTGTCGTCAGCTGATTCGATATCCCCATCATCTGTCGGGAGAACACGGGGGCTAGTGTTCTTGAGCGAGGAGTTTGCTCTTGCCGATATCGGGTAGCCTCGCACTATTCTTTGCAACCCATTTTGTTTGCGTAAGCCTCTGAATGAATGGTAGGAATATGGTAGGATTTTGCCACGGCTGCCACTCACCGCCACCCGGGCGACCACCGATCATGCACGGGGCTGTGTTCGTCTTATCAGAGCAACTCTCGAGCCAGAATATCAGTGCTGCATGGAAATTCACTTCCGAGACCGTTGGCAACACTACTGAACTGTAGATGTGGCATCCCGTGACCACAAGCAAGCGAACAGGATGCTGTGCCAATACGGCCGGTGTCTTGAATGCCGTTGCTGAATGTGTCGGCTGCCGTGACTCTATCTGAGTCGTCATCTGTCCGCAGTACCCACCCCACACATCGTTGGGGGTAGAGGATTCAATGCAAGCGGCGCTCTCTCTGTGCAGGGAAGGATACGTTGCGTGTCTCTATTCCTCTGCCGCTAATACTACAATATATGCCGCAGTCTTATGCATACGCTATGGATGAACTTATCTCCCTGACAGAGCTTCCACTCACCGGTGTCCGGCGCGCTGCCGATGATGCATGGGGCTTCGTTGGTGTCATCACAGTACACGCCCAGAGACTTAACACCGCCCCCACAGCATGACTCCGAGCCGAGACCATTCGCAGATCCAGCCGTACTGCATCCATCCCCTCCGCACTGACCACAGCCGATCGGACAGCAGACGACCCCGTTTCCGTCGATGCCTTCGGTACCGTCGCTGCACGTCTGTGTGTCGTCAGCTGATTCGATATCCCCATCATCTGTCGGGAGAACACGGGGGCTAGTGTTCTTGAGCGAGGAGTTTGCTCTTGCCGATATCGGGTAGCCTCGCACTATTCTTTGCAACCCATTTTGTTTGCGTAAGCCTCTGAATGAATGGTAGGAATATGGTAGGATTTTGCCACGGCTGCCACTCACCGCCACCCGGGCGACCACCGATCATGCACGGGGCTGTGTTCGTCTTATCAGAGCAACTCTCGAGCCAGAATATCAGTGCTGCATGGAAATTCACTTCCGAGACCGTTGGCAACACTACTGAACTGTAGATGTGGCATCCCGTGACCACAAGCAAGCGAACAGGATGCTGTGCCAATACGGCCGGTGTCTTGAATGCCGTTGCTGAATGTGTCGGCTGCCGTGACTCTATCTGAGTCGTCATCTGTCCGCAGTACCCATCGCACACATCGTTGGGGGTAGAGGATTCAATGCAAGCGGCGCTCTCTCTGTGCAGGGAAGGATACGTTGCGTGTCTCTATTCCTCTGCCGCTAATACTACAATATATGCCGCAGTCTTATGCATACGCTATGGATGAACTTATCTCCCTGACAGAACTTCCACTCACCGGTGTCCGGCGCGCTGCCGATGATGCATGGGGCTTCGTTGGTGTCATCACAGTACACGCCCAGAGACTTCACACCGCCCCCACAGCATGACTCCGAGCCGAGACCATTCGCAGATCCAGCGGTACTGCATCCATCCCCTCCGCACTGACCACAGCCGATCGGACAGCAGACGACCCCGTTTCCATCTATGCCTTGGGTACCGTCACTGCACATCTGTGTGTCGTCAGCTGATTCGATATCCCCATCATCTGTCGGGACGACAGGTGATTCATCATCTGTCGGGACGACAGGTAATTCTGTCGGGACGACAGAGTCATCTGTCGGGACGACAGAGTCATCTGTCGGGGCCACAGTATCATCTGTTAGTAGTAACCGAGTGCAGAACGTCAGAATGGACCAGCAGGTCAGCGAGGGTTGGGTGGTTCTAAATGCCTGCATCGTCTTCACACCGACGCTGATCTTTTAAACCGAAGTGGGGACATACACCTCGTTATGGTTTGTCCACCCACGATACATAGCGGGCAACGCCTTAAAATAGCGACGCGGTTCATCCCGACCGAGAATAAATAGTTCGAACCGCTTTGAGCATGTTCCGCAAACCGGACTTCCGTGGCACTTGACAACTTTCCCGTCACGAAGGAAACGAGGATGGAGAGGTTGTTCGTTTTTTTTGCATCGAATGCAGAGTGTCCCAGGGGTCTCGGGCGAAACAACCACCTTCATCCTGAGACTGGTCAACAAGTGTTCTGTTCTCGAGGAGGAACCATGTCGACACACCACACACACACCTGTTCCGTCGCACAAAGGCACCCCCGGAACATCCGTTCCGGTGGAAAAGCAGGAGTTGGTAACCGAGAACTCAAAGCTGGAATCTGTGAACGTGTTGTCACGGACCAGGTTGTTGGTGCTATCTTCGAAAATAGCCTTCGACCCACTGTGGAACGTGTTGTCCTGTACAGAGGTTCAGTGAACACGAAGAACAGGGAGCGAGGGAGTATGCGGTAAATGGTGTGGAGCAAAACGCAAATATATTGTGGAGCAGATGGGCTTCCCCAGGTGAAGCTCCTCGCACCTGTCACCAGAGCTCATGATGAGGCAATGAATTGTTCGGTTTTTGTCCTTGAGCAATACATCGAGAATGGTGAGCCAGTTTTGCCACCGGTATATGCACGGCGTAAGGCTGAATCATCATGCGCTTACATAATGTCAAGTTTGTGAGGTTGATCGTGTCGAATGCACATCTTTCGTATGAGCTGGGAGTGGGCATGAGTCTAAACATGAGGAGGTCGAGCGTCGAAACGGTTTAGAGGTCGGACAGTCTCCTCTTAATTTCGCACAGCCGCAATTGGATTCGATGGACACTTTCCACTTCCTACAGTATCTACAGAGTCAAAGCACGCAAGACAAAGGAGGATGGGATGGAGGAACAAAAACACAGGCACGAGGCGAACAGCACGAGCTTGACAGGTACGAGAGAAAACAATACATCGTGAAGATACCTCGTGTGGGGTGTGCAAGCGAGCACCCGGGTAAGACGGTGATTGTGACCAGTTGCCCTGTTGTGTTGTACTGTACAACGTCGTAGACCACCGCTTTGGCTATTTTCGTGCTGTGACAGGTTTTGGTGTCAATGAAGGGTATTATCTCTTCTCCTATGTCGAGAAATACAACAATACGCAGCGTGCACAGTGGTCAAGCCGATTCAACGCTCTTTACAATGGTCTCTGGGAACGTTTTGCAACGGGAGACACCCGTGCAAAAGGTTTCGCTGCAACTTACATGTGGTGACGAGGTACGAAGGCAACGAGCGTGGAAGTATTACTGGCTCCAGTTTCAATATTGCAACTCTCGTGTTCGGAGTGTTTTGAGTTTTGACCATGTGAGACGTTTATTGTCTTGTTTTCGACCGTACAGTATTTGTGGCGACTTGAAGCTGGAGCAGTCGAAACAGGTTGCCTTGCGCTGGCGAATTGTTCTACATGAACAAAATGACGGGTGCTTTCGTCGACCGCTCAAGCGATGCTACTTTCCATTGCAGCTTGGGGCGAACGGACGGCAGGAAGAACCAACAACATGACTGCAACACCATGCACAAAAAAATATGGGGATCATGGCGACACACTGTACACTACTGGTCGCCCCGGTGGTCTAGTGGGTAGCCTCGCAACCTGCTAAGGGCCAGGTCATGGGTTCGAGTCCCGGCAGAGAGAGTTTTTTTCTCACTAAATAAATCCTGGTCTAGGATGAAAGCGACGCGCTGCAAAGCTCGTTTGTTAGTAAACCATAGTCGACTTCGTAAGTCGCGAGGAAAGGGATTGCTGTACCCTTCTCGCGATAAAAATACCTCAGGCATGAACCACAGGAGGGGGTCCAACCCCACCCTCCTATGTGACCCTGGTTGGGTCGTCTAGCTGGTAGAAGTGGAGGATAGGGGCCAGAGGGGCAGATGACAGAGTCCAATGATGGGAGAAAAACAAACAAAAAAACAAAACTGTCCTTGAGACATGCGCCAAAATCGTTTAAGTATCCGCTTGGGTTCTGAAGGCATGCTATCCGGCCAATGAGAGTGCCAAGCGAGCCTCATTCTTGCGGCGGACATGGACCAATCATGCACACGTCGCAACAGTCGTCACTCACGTAGAACTCGTTGTCGTCTGCATCCGTAGTTAACCAGGCGACTTCCTTGCCGGAGTAAATGTTGTTGTCGTAGATTTTGTTGTCCCTAGGGTGGCCGTCGGGGTTGCCGTCGGCTTCGGGCTCGTCGTTTCCACGATCTGGACCAGCAACACACATGCATGTTACGACAGACTTTACGTCAAAGAATACATCACGAGCCATGCTTTCGCCGTGCGTTCGTGGCGAACAACTGCAAAGACATTTCTCGTGTAAACTAAAGAAACTTCGAAACAAGAAAGGCACGCGAACTTTCGGGTGAATGAATGTACCCTTTTTTTGTTACGTAAGTCGTGCTTTCAGGAAAACTGGTCTTGGTTCGCGCAGTGCGCATGTCTATCTGTAGTCGAAATTACAAACGGGAATTGAATATCTTGCATTGATTCCCGGCAAAAAGCGAGGGAACCGGATTGTGTCCGTTAACGTGCGCGTTATTTTCTGTCCTTTTCCGTTTATCTCATTCGAACAGCTGGTTGACCGTAGTACGGATCTTTGAATTTCGACTTTAGACCATTACACGTTTATCTTGCCAAGAACGCGCTACACGGGTAAGCAAGAATACTCATGCAGCAAAACTGGAGCACCATCGTTTGAACAATTACAAACATTTGTGTTCCGAGACTCATATACACGCTAGAACTCACAAAGGTAGATGGCGTAGTCATCGTCGTCTCCGGACCCAACCGTCATCGTGTTGCTGTAGACGTTGTTCCTATTCGCGCCATTGCTCCAACGCACACCACCTGTTACAATGAATATCCGCCATACACAACCGATGAGTCGGCGAGAACCACAAAGGTCAACAACAGCAAATAGTGAATTTTGATGCACGTAATGACTAATCTAGGTGTCACTGGTTGCGAGCTGTCGTCCGGCTCGCGCGCTTTGACCCCACCCCGCCTTGGCGGATACATCGCCATCGGCTGTTCTCTTGTCACTCGGCTGTTACGTGAACATTACATATAGGGGCGCTGGTCCCCAAATCTCCCCGGTATTGTGAAGTGGAAGTATGATTTACGTGTAAAATGCACGTTCAGGAAATACCCGTTGTTCACGCACCACTTTATACCCTCCGTCAGATGCCAAGAAATTATCCCTTGCCTGCATCAAATTGTTCTAAGCCGGCAACGACCAAGTGTGCTGTGGAATGCGCAGGGATCCGATCCATCCGGAATTTCATTTCGAGGGCAAGACCCGGTGTCGCGAGTCACCACTTGGTCATCTTCTGATAAATATTTCCACACGGTTCTTTCGTTATTTACATTCCTCTTCGCGTGAAATTACTGTCTGCAAGTCAGCCGCACAACGGTGTTTGTCATCGATGACCATCGAGTGACAAGAGGCGTTACATATTTTTTACCACAAATATTTGGTTGCGAGTTCTTGCTCGTTTCGAAATATGGTCGTTTTCGCTTAGGAACACGAAGCGTGTCTCCGCGGCATGTTACAGCCAACCCTGCTATTATGTCAGAAAACGATGCGGCCGGTGCCGCGACTCCCACGTACAATCAATGGCGTCATCTAACAAACTTCGCAGAGAATAGTGCAAAATTGAACAAGTGACCTTGGGAATGTCGCCCCCTGTCCGATTCCTCCTAGATAAGCAAACAAGCGCCTAGCTTAGCCCAACGTGCGACAGTGTTTTCTCTACGAACATTGACTATTCAAAGCCGTTTTGTTCCTCATGTTGGCCTTCTTGTTTCGGGTTTGGTGATTGCTGGCACGACACATCGACGTTCTTGATTTCCCTTCAATAAATTTTTGGCGTTTGTATTCTCATTCGCTTCAACGCCGGACGCGTTGTCGAGTAAATACTAGATGCGTCCATATCCTTGGTAGATTTCCTCCAACCCGCAACCAGCCTAAGGAAAAACGATCGACTAACTCACGGGGATTGTTTTCAAAAACGTTGTCGTAGACGTCGCAGTCGGAGCTCTCGTACAAGGAGAGACCTGCATCGCCGGAGTCTCTGACGGTGTTACCGGTTACCGTCGCGCGGTCGCATGACCGGTGGAGCATGATGCCGTTCTCGGCGTTGTCCCAGACCTACCCAGGCAGTTAAAAGGGGTGAGTCGGGGAGGAGGGTACACGAGGTGGCGCGGAGGTAAGATGGTGGTCGACGCGGTGGCGCTGGCTCATGGGTGGTTGAGAAGGACGTCTATGCCAAACCAAACTCCGGGGGCATCGCGGCTCCAGCGTTCCGCACAGCTTGTGCTTGCGTGTATCGCCCAGTTAATTGGATCATATGGAGGTGATGCAACGACTTCTGCCTGACGAACGAACACCGATTGTGGGATAGGAGCCAGCTCTGACCGAACTTTTACAATAACATCAAGTTGCAGCAAGCTCACATCGCCGTCATCAGGAACCAATCCAAGGGACGAGGGAGCTTCCCACGTAAGACGATAAAAAACATGGCAAGGGCACAACCCGCAGGTATTCCAATTCTCGAGAGGTGTGGTGGGGTGGCGGATGGGCGGCTTACATATGTATGCGCCGATACTCTATGGACGACCAGCCACGCTTGATGAATTGTTGTTAGCCAACTGGTTTCGGGTGTGTGAGCCCTTCAACGTTACGCGTCTTCGAATAACACGAATTGGAAATCGCGCGCGGTAGGCATACGTTTGTGTGGGATCTTGTGCTTCTGAAGTATTTGATGAAGAACATTTGAGACCAAGCAAACGAGGCTCTAGAAGATAAAACCCTAAAATAGTGTTTCTAGAGACATCGCGAGTTAGTATTTTCAATAGTTCTGAGCCGCAGCGAGAGCGGAGCTGAAGGTTTTCATACACAGGTAAGGAGAAAATCCGCCCAAAAAACAGGTCTCGATGTAGCACGATGCAGGCGAAGTATGTAGACTCGGACATTCTGTGGGATTCATTCCTGACACCACATACCTCATTGTCGGCAATCGTGATATCGGTGCATCTCTTCGACGCAACTGCATTGTTGTTTGCGCGTGATCGAAGTTTCGCGATGGTGATGATGGTGGTCGTGGTGGCGGCGTGGGTGTTTGAATATGATAACAGCGGCACCGACAAAACGATCAACGGGATGCGGTGCAAAGGGTGCGCGGGGAGAGTCAATAGAACTGAGGTACTCGTTTCATATGGGTTGCACGTCGTCATTGTTTCGGTGCCGACGACATGAGACAGATTTGGGCTGTCGACCGTCGCGGAGAAACCCAAGGCCCCTAAAATTCCGTACTTCCGACGATATCGGCAATGCTACACACAACCAAGCGCATTAGGTTTACTTTTTCACACGTGCTTAGTGGGAGGCGACTACCCGGGGTATGTACTGTGCATTCTCATTTCGTACGACTCACTGATTCCGTGGTAACCGTTGCCCCAGACCTGGGGAAGCCAGGTATATGTACGTCGTGAAGGGGTAAGGGGTGCGGCAGGAGACACACCCAACATGAACGATCGAGCAACAGGAAGGAGGCAGATCACGAAGTGGCACAGGACAGACAGAAAGAGTCAGCGGCAGACATTAGCATGGCAAAGAATAGTAAAGAGTTTGATAAGTATTCGGTACCAGACCAAGCTGCGCGCAACACAAGGCGGGGAATATCATGTACACATTTTGTTGTGTGCATAGCAACTCATGACATTTTCCAAGAAGAAAGTTCTTACGCCTACAGCAGTACATGTCCCATGATTTAGGTTAACTGAATGCCACTGCCAGCTGCCCCCACCTTGTTGCCTCTGATTTCAAGGTGGTCAGAATCGTCGTGCGGGTCGAAGCCTGATGCCGGGAGCCGACGGTGGGCAAAGTGGAGGTGGAGCACGGCAAGTGGAGGGTACAGAAAACGTATATTTAGGAGAGGGAGAAAAAACTGAAACACACGGTGCACATTGACCTTCACTTTTCACCCATTACACCCAACGAACACAGCGCTATTGCTGGCACGTGTCAGGATACAACTTGGGCTGGATATTTGTTCTGCAGACGACTCCAAATCACCACCAGACGACGAGCCGTTGCTCGCTGTAGAACCTGATCACACCGCAAAACCGAATAAACCGTAAATCTGTTGGTTTTGATCAATGGTACGCTGGATTTTGTTCATTTTTGAAATGTCGGCACAAGCTGTTTCCGCAGGGAGCCTTTTCCAGCCGAGCGAAAAAAATGGAAGAAACAACGCATACAGAATTTGTCGCAGTTCTTTCCCTTTCGTGTGGAATATATCTGTGAAATCCGAGGTAAAAGGTATCGGCCGGTTGGAGTGGTTTCAGTACCACATGAATAACAACAACTACCAATTGCGAGCGCATCCATCCGCCATGCCAGAGGCTGAGAGTATGGACAGAGCGGATGAGTACGCTTGAGCAACGTGTTCGACAACTGGGGCGTACCGTAGCCGACGTTGTCGTAGACATCGTTGTCGATCCACTTGCCGCCCTGGTGCCCGTAGGAGTAGTGCCCGAACCACTGCGAACACAAGTCAATTCCGTCGGAATCATCGAACACGTGCCAAGGAATCATCCGGACGTCAAATATTAATGGTACGGTAGACAGTGACTGTCAGCTGGTGTCAACACCTCTGGTCTCCATTCGTTACCTATATTCTAGCGGGGAGTTTCCAGGGTCTAAGGAAAAAAAACACTTCAACGTGTCTTGAACCCACGACCCACAATGTAACCATTATGGAAACAATAATCAAACCATGCGACTACTGCGTTAGTTTCTTGAGACCCTGGGTACCCCCGGCGAGAATATGATGACCAAAGTACTCGTGGACCCTGGACCATTCTATTGGATGTGGGTGGCGAGGGATATGATGTATGAAGCGAAATCAAGATTGGACGGATAGTAGCGCCGGCAAAGGGAGTCACGCTTTTCGAAAGTGAACGTAACGGAGCTCATGTCCCGTTGTCGTGGTCAACACTTCATGCACTACATACCGTAGTTTGCTTGCTGATGTCTTTATCGTCTTGATGCCTGTCAGTATGAGTTACAAACGTAGTTTTATCGTATTCAAACGAACATCCGTTCGCCGCTCGCCGGAAGACAAACAAAAATAAACCTTTTCCACTTTCTGGCGCACGAGCACGATTAATAGGGGGGCTGAGACCCCGAACTCTCTAAACGCAAGGTACGACCAAACAGCGCCAACGAACTCGAGGAATAACGGTCCCATGGTTCTCCAGGCACAGAAAATGTGAACGAAAAAAAAAAGCACTTCTTTTTTTTTTTTGCCTTCGGACAATTGCAGATGTCGGAAGGCAAAAAAAAAAAAAAGTGCAGATGTACCTCAGAAAACTTTCACTTAATGTCTGATACTTTACATGAATAATAAACCAAAACGAAGTACAACATGTGTAGGACTTCTTTCTACTGTCACTTGCATCGTAAAATATCTCCTCTTCAACTTGAAATGTAACCAATGACAATCCTCATGGTATCCTATATGCGTTCTTAAACTTGCTAAAGTACAACTGCGTTGATGTCCTCTTGTAAAAGCTGAAATCCAACAAATGCTTTGTATTCTCACGTTGTTGTGGATCTTGGACCTGTAGATATCTCCGTAGACCGCGTAGGCTCCGTACACAGGAAAATCCTATAGAATATTGCAAAGTGAATCGCAAAGGCAACGAAAATCGTAGCCAGTTCCGATATCCCAACCGTTTCCTTAAGCGCAGCTGGCCTAGCCCACTCCGTGCACTCCCTAAATTGAAATAACTTTGCTAAATTCACATCGATCACGACCGGTCTCTCTCGCAACACTTCAGTCACTGGCTGCCCTAAACATCGTTTGAACTCAGGTAAACGCCCTAGAAAGTATCTAGCACGCGCGAAGGAAGCCCTCCGGTGATGAGCAGTTTTGACAATTAGATAGGCTCGAGAGCAAAGCAAACTTCGGCAAAAAAGCGGGGGCTTACTTTGTAAACCGTGTACAGTAGAAAACAGCTTACCTCTGTTAGGGGTGCATTGGTTACTTGTTCATTGCAGCGAAAACAGGGCAACCAATGATTGGCAAGAAGCACAGCATCGATCCCAACCCGAAATGAAGACAAACTGACCTGGTCATCGTCGAAGATGTCGACATTTTCGAGGGTCTTACACAACCCGCGAGCCTTGTAGGAGATACCGTACGACTCGCTCTCAGAGTACCCGAGATCTGTGGTCAAAATGCGTCAGGAAATGCACGGGATAGCAAGCAGGAGGGGAGGGGGCGTGGTTCGCGACACGGCTCGTCCACCACACCATTCCACATTTGGCAATTAACTGTAAATAAGTGTTGCCAGACACCTAGCCGCTAGTTGTTCGTAAACACCTAGTTGCGCCCGCAGCTACAAGAGCAGTAGTTGTCTACCGGCAACTATGTGCGCATGTTCCTGGAAGAGTAGTTGTCTGCAGGCAACTATTAGGTGTGCACGCTCCGTAAGTACAGGTCTTCATGATCAAGTTTCTTGTTCCAAATTCCGGTCGACTTCCTGTCATGTTTCTCCTAAATAGCCTTTGGGCGTACACATAACATACATCTATCCCTTGTACAGCGGTTTTTGTTCCTGGAATCAGAGCCATTACCCGCTCGTCGTGCTCATCATTAAAACAAATGGCCGTTCCCATCAAGCTTGAGCGGTAAGTGGGCGAACGAGCTGTTTCAACCAGCAGGTTCAACCGCAGTGTGTATGGTGGTCTCGTGCGATGGCGTTTTGTACTACAGTACCGTGCTCTCAACTACTTTGTAGACAGCAACTTGCTTCGAAGCCAAACACCTCGCGTGACGAAATTCGGTGTGAAGCTAAAATAGTCCATCCAATTTGTGCAGGTTGGAGCCGCTTCCCTTCTTCACTCTGATTCCTCCCTTTACTCCTTCCATTCTCTCTCAGTCGCTCGCTTTCCCTCACTCCCAGGCAACACTGAGCAAGGGGGAGGGCTTTGCCATGGCTTGCTGCTGCTGCCTTTACATCGGTCCTAACTAACGTACCTCTTTTTTTGTACCTGCCTAATAACGGAACACAAGAATGTGGGCAGAGGTCGGGATAGTGCTAAAAGATAACAAGATAACCTGCCCAGATGGTATCTTAGTCCAAGGCTCCAAATACCACAACATTTGTCAACTAATGTAAGAGATCGGCCGTAGGGCCCCCTGTCGCAAAATATTGGGGGGATACCCGAAACGAGTCTGATTGGAAAAACACGTGAGGAGCGACACTGAGGTACTTGGTCGACACGTTTATGTTTCCGCACATGTCTGTGGGAGCGATGATAACCACACTCGTCTGAAGCAGCGTCGCCCCAAAAGAGGACAACATACTTGCAGAGTCCGGTTCGCGATTGTTCCCCCGTCCATGCACTCACTGATTTCAAGAGAACATACCTCCAACGAAAGCTGCCGTGTTATATATGATATGTATGCTTAGCAACAAGCGACCCGCAGAGTCTTTGTACTTCCTTTCGATGTGGCAAGAATCCACTATTCACAAGTCGAGCTGTCACTGCTTGCGAGACCCGATATCAAAGAGACTCAGAGTGGGCACGATTCGTAACATCTCGGGTGGTTGTTCGCACATTGATGGCATCTCCATGCTAGCTCTTCCACTGTAGAATGCTCACATGCTAGCTCCGAGTCGTAGATGTCCATCCTGGCGACCCCCATCTGTTCTTTAGCTTGACCTGTGCTGTAACCATCTTCGCCGGCTTGGGTGTCGGACGGGCACAAGTCCTCATCGCGACCGGTAATGAACTCGGTAATCGCGCTCAAATACCTGACCACAAGAGAGGCAAAAGCCAACAACTCTCCAATGAGTGTCTCTAAACGCCCTGCCTACTCGTGGCGCAATCGCACGCCTATTTCAGTTTTTTCAAGCACCAGTAGCTGAACGCGGTGACGAGATGAAACGCGGCGAGAATGTTCGCAGGCCGATGGTGTATAGGCCAAACAATCGTTTGGCGACACTTGTTCAAGGGACGACAAAGCCCGTGCCATAGGGTCTTCGGGTATGGAGTCCACTGAAGGTACCACAGCGTTTGGTACTGCCTTATAACTTACGGCCGGCCGTTGCCCGTGTTCGTGTCGTAAGTCCCCGTGGTAATGTCCCACGAGAAGATTTTCGTGTCGCGGACAACCAGGTTCCCTCCATGGGCACGAATATTAAGGCTGTCCGAGCCCGTGATATCGTCGTTGCCCGCCTGCGTTGATGTGTGTAACGGTACTTGTAGAGGTGACTAACGGTCATGACGTGGTGACCAGGTCTTGTTCGTTTCATTACAGTAGCGGCTACGGTTTTTCGAGAGGGGCGTGACAACCCCTTGCTTCTATCTTAAATCCGGCTTCCTTTAATACCGTGTTGGCTAGACCTTATGAGAACACTGTCGTAAACCGTGTACATACTCAAAAGGATTTTCTCCCGCATGTTGAGGGTCATGCAAAATGAACGCTCTCATTTCAACAAGCGTAAATAGACGTCACTCATGTTACATCACGTGGTCAGCTTGTGCTGGCTCCACACATGCTCAATCTGTCTGTTGGCGAGCAATGGACCCACCGAAGGTCCTGGGTACACACGGATACACATGAGTGGAATTTAATTGTGGTGTCATGTAATATGAATTTCGATGTGCGTATTGCATGGGTGATTTTTGAATTTGATGGGCCTGGTGTGGGATTGGGGACCGCCGTGCAAGCGCTTCCTGCTGGGCATGGTGTCTAAGAGCTGTGTATGTGACGGCTAAAGAGGCAGAAATATGACGAGTTCTCTCTGTAGTCTATCGATTTTGGTCGTGACGAAGCCAGTTTCACTTTCGTCAATCGTTACTTTTTCTTTTATCATTTCCGCTAAAACCGTAGCCGCCACTGCTGTAACGCGATGATTGTATAAAAAGCGTTTGGGTCCGGCTATTTTTTCGTTGGAGGAGCCCGGTGCATAGCAGCTTCAATGGTGTTCACTCCCAGGTTCTACTGTAGACTGTCTCACCATAAGAAGAGTCTCGCACGCGAGGGCTCCCGTGCCGTCGATCTCGAGAGTGGCGCCGTTCCTGATGTGGATGTTGCTGTCGAGATAGTATACACCGGTGTAAGTCTCTGAAATGACGTTGTTCTCCTGAACTCGCAACGACGCGCAGACACACGAACAAACACGTATCCGCATGAATGAGTGCTGGGACGCGGGTCTCCAGTCGGTTGTTTTTGGCCCATCGCCGAGAGGAGTGGTGTGTCTATTGTGGTTACAGTACATGTACAGACCTCAACAATATACACGGGGCAATGAGCGCATCTACAGCAGCAGGATCACCGCGGTGACGAAGAACAAGCACAGAACAAGGATATTGCAGTAAGTTTGGCTCTTCTGCAAGTATCAAGGTATCGCAAATCTATGTAGTCCACGGGGAGACCTTGCCTAACGGCGCATCCATTACCAACTGCCCTCGGGAGTTTCTCGTGTGGTATGTCTACATGATGACTTCCCAAAATATTCAGAACATATTCGTGCTGCAAAAGGTCCCTCTCGTGGCCAGTTCGCGCTTTCACTACTACGTACGCACGTACTTGATTTGATTACTGAGTCTGACGTTTTCGTGAGGCGAACTCGCTACATTTCGAAAGAATCGATTAGTTTCCGAAATTAGCTCAAAACAACCCCGGATTTTTTTTCGTTTTCGAACCTATTCGGCCCCAACATTACTTGGCGTAATAAGGCCACTTGTTACGCTGTCTCTTTTTGGGCTGTCCCTTTTCTCAAAAAGGGACAACTGACCAAAAACCACTTGTTACGTGGTCTTTTTTTTCGTTTTTGAACCTCCCGAAAAGGGCCAGCGAAAAAAGATCACGCCATCCTGTCCCTTTTTGGTCATTTGTCCCTTTTTGAGAAAAGGGACAGCCCCAAAAAAGACAGCGTAACAAGTGGCCTATAAGCAGTACGAATGTATGTTGAGGTTTCGTCAAATTGAGCATCTTGTCGCATGCTTGGCATATTGAGGGATAATTACAGCGCTGCCCAGCCCACACCCACATTTGTTGCTCCAAGATTTGATTCATTGAAATTCAAATAGAAAAAACTTGCGTCGGACTAATGATTTTATGTTTTGTACAAGGGAGTTTTCTCTCGCCCTTTCTATCGAGCAACTGGCGTGACTGCTGCTGTTGATTGATTTGTCACAAGAAAATATCCCTGTCTCTGTGCGAGTTTGTTATGTCCTCGTCTGTCTTTGGTTTTTTTTGTTTCTTTTTTTTTTTTACTGGCACGTACTGTTGACCCTTGGGGTCCTTCCGGAAGGCTACCCCCAAGGCTGGTGGTGCGCACGTTCCACTATTTATTTGTTTCTGATTCTTTTGTTTTCTTGGATTTATCGCTCTGCTAACCCTTGGGGTCCATTTTATTTTGGTATACCTTTTCTAGGTACGTTAGCCTGTGACCACGGAAATCGACCGAGTCAAGTGCTGGATTAGTACGGAGAGATTGAGACAGAAGGAGGTACTGGATCTAGAGACCGGGATGGTTTTTAATGTGAAGACAACTAATAATAGTCTACAGCAGTATTCTACACACCGCGTGCCCAACGTGAAAATTGGAAGGCCTAGAAGGAAAACACGCCTTCCGCACACAGCACCAACAAAACAATACTGCGAATGGACGGATGCGTATCCATCAGGCGACGTTGGAGGAGTTACCGCCCAATGCTAAACAACTGTCTCGTGGAGCAGTACATTTTTCATCGTGACCTTCACAGACAGCCTTGTCCATTACTTCTTTATGGCTAAAAGAACATGGATTACAGAAGTAGTGGCACCAATTTTTTTGTTGTCACAAAAAAAAACGTTCCGTTCTCTCTGCCCACCACCTAGTCTACATACTGTTTTTTCATGTGTACCTGGTCAAAGTAGTACAGAGGGCCCTTTGCCCCAAGGTTATCAGAGCGATCTTCATAGATGTCAGCCATCGTTGCGCAGCCGCCGTCAATGTACAGGCGGTTAGAGGATTCCGCCCAGGAGATATCCGGGGCGCTTGGCAGGTAGTGTAGAGGACGTCAGACAAAAGTGAACGAGAAAGAGGCGATTAGTGCCACGATCGTTGAGAATCAACTAATAATTTCTACAGTACAGCCTCACGAGCGAGAACACCACACGCACGCACGCGTAGACACGCGCAACCTTCAGCGAATCAATGCTACGCAACGACCGAGCCAACCAAGCGATTCGACAGTACGTGCTTGCAGCAATCGCTTTGTCCCAATGCACCACAAGTCAAGAGGGTTTTGTGAACGATTGTCGATCTGCTACTTCACACGGGCACACGGACAAAGCCTACAGAGAGAAGGATTGAGGGATCAGAATTTCTGTCTCTCTCATTCATAATGTTTTTCAATTTTTGTTACACAGAACAGGAGAGGAGATTATTGGATCAAAGGCAAAGAAAAGTGTTCCAATCAAAATTGCCCGTCTTGCATGTCCAGAGTGAACGAACCTCACTCGAGCAAAGTAGCAGCGTGTGTGCCATGCAAGACTCGTCGCTACAATTCTACGACCTTGTACACGCAAATCTGTGAAGGTCTCGCTGGGGAAATCCTGGTCTGTTCGTCTAACTCGCCAAGGCATGAGTCATTACTGCTCTGAACCACCACCACTCACCTTCCGCCGTCGCATGCAGCATCGACGGCTCCCAGGTAGCAAGTTAACGCGGCTGCCACCACCGCCAGCGCGGGGACACTCCGCTCAGCCGATCGAAGCACCATCGCGAATTCTTTGGCCGCGCGAGTGAGTCCAACCCAATATACTTCTTAAACGAACGACGGGCAGCAGTGTGTTGCGGAGGCGTGGCTGAAGAGTGATCGTTTGAGGTGGTTCGTGGAGAATAACAGCTGCTGCCCCGTTTGGCGGCTCTTTCGACTGGCGACCCTGTTGACAGATGATGGCTGCGGTATCCTGCACCGTTCAGACCACACACGGTTTCCAGCCACGGTCTCCAGCCATTATCTCCGCTGTCTGCTGCCCTTCCGTTCATTTTTCTTCTCGCACTCGCTCACTCGTTCAATACCTCATGACAATGAGATGGGGGTACGGGGAAAAACGTTACATGAACTCCGATGTGTACAACGAGCGCCACCATGTACGAATGGGTCATGTGCGAACGTCGAGTGCATCATGAATAACCTACAAATAGCGTTTGCCTGCGCCCATCCTCACCGGCCAACGCACCTGCGCCGGTGAGTTGCTATCAACGTTAAGCCGCCGCGCCTGGCCGCTGAAGTACACAAGATGTGAGAACTCCACCAGTAGAACACTGAATGAACGATATAGTCGTTTCTTATCGTCCATTATTATTATTTTGTCTTATCGTCCATCGTTCATCCTCTGGTGGTTCGGGATAATTTTCTCGCGGTCGGCAGGAAGAAAGTGACCCTATCGTCCAAGCTACTTCGTTCTGGGTTCTCGGTGGTACTGGCGGAAAGTTACTGTGAGATGATGACATCACTTTCGTTGGCTGACCGCTGATCGCCAAAGCCCGATCGCCAATAAAATAAGATACAACGTGGATTTCACGTACTGGAGGCGACACAACCACGCGTAAGCTCAAACAACCGTTCTAGAACTTGCCAACCAGTTAGATGTACATGAAAAAAAAATCGTGTTCTAGACTATTTTGTCGTCAGCGCACACAGCACTTAGTGACGTATACTCCAACCCGTGGTCACACAGAAGAAGGGTCCCTCTCCCTTAGGCCCCCTATCCACCTCTCCCGCGGGGATGTAAAGCAAGCACTCTCATCCGTTTGTGTACGCACGAACTATTATATATGGCTGACCGCTGATCGCCAAAAACAAAGCCCGATCGCCTAAGATACAACGTGGGTTTCACGTACTGGAGGCGACACAACCACGCGTAAGCGCAAACAACCGTTCTAGAACTTGCCAACCAGTTAGATGTACATGAAAAAAAAATCGTCTTCTAGACTATTTTGTCGTCAGCGCACACAGCACTTGGTGCCGTATACTCCAACGCGTGGTCACACAGAAGAAGGGTCCCTCTCACTTAGGCCCTCTATCCACCTCTCCCGCGGGAATGTAAAGCAAGCACTCTCATTCGTTTGTGTACGCACGAACTATGATAGCGCTTTCCACCCAGGCCAGGAACGGAAGCGACAGAAACCTCACTCTGGCTTGCTCTCTTCCGCCAGGATTCGAACCCCTGACCCCGGCCACTACGTAACAACAGAGGAATTTTCGAGCACACCAACAACAACTAAACTACTAGTGGTCTTTAGAGGACAATTGGTCATGACTCAAGGCTTCCAGGTAAGTTTCACAGCATGTATTCACGCGAGGCACCTTGGATCACCCGGGGACTATAATACCGGAGGCATCAAACATGTGAGAATGTATACAATACCCTCTTGCGCGCTTTCTTCTACATGACTTGGTTATTACCGAGGCAAACACGTCCCGTGCTGCCGGCGATAAAATTAACCAAAGCTAAAAACGACGGTTGCGAACTGACTGCGTGGGGTCCAGCCCACGCACCACCTGCAATCACGCAGAAAGAGCAACCATGTGATTGTTCGCTGAAAATTTCTTTTGTGGACTAGACTAGACTAGTCTATAGAGTTGTGAATCGGTACGAAAAAACGATATATTTTACATCGGCTGCGCAGCAGCCGATATAACGATATTTTTTTCCGATATATCGCCGTAGGCGATATATCGGAGAAAATATCGGGCGAGCGCAGCGAGCCGTGATGGGGGCGAGCGAAGCGAGCCCCCCCATCGGCCCCCCCCGGCTGGTGAGGGGGCCTCGCCGGAGGCGCCGCCGGAGGCAGAAAATTTGGTGCATTTTCCTTTCATTTCCCGTCAAAATGGGCCCAAATGCGGCATCAAAAAGGGCTTGACTTCAGCTGCAAACATCGCACGGAATGTAGAAAAAAAAAAAAAAGATTAAGATTGATGTATTGTCGCGTATCCTCAGCAGTACCCTCCTTCGGTCTCTCCCTGTGTCTACTTCCCGGTTGGTTCTGGACATGGTGCTGTTGTCTGCTGTTTCTGCGCTGCTGTGCTGTGTGTGTGTGGCGTACAGGGGCTCCGTACTGCTGCGCATACCCTAAATTTGATTCACGGAGCCCCTAAGAAAACATCGGTCGGAACATCGGCACGAATTTTCGATACCGATATCGATATATATCGGACGATATATATCGTGTACATCGTTCCGATTCACAACTCTACTAGTCTATGCCTTTGTTGCTTGTTGTTTATGTTCCTAGTTTAGACCAAGCGTGTGTTTGTAGCTGAGAACCCAAGAGCACATATTCTCTTGGAAGGTATTCAGTCTAGCTCTACTGTAGTCTCGAGTATCCACGACGACGACCTGAGCGACGTGCACAGTATAGCTATTATGTCTCTTTCGGCTACACGTGCATCTTCAAATTGCAATTTTCTAAACCGTCGCCTGCGACTGCTGTCGGGGTCCATACTCGAAGTCACCCCACGTATTAGCTCCCACGTATGCACACGACCACGGGGCCAAGCAAGAAACGAATACTTATTATAATGTGAAGACAACACAACAACAATCAAGAACAAGATTTTTAACCAAGGCAGTCTATCCATGATTCGTTCGTCGTACCCCTACTCGCGACTTGGCACCGGCGACGGTACGATAACACTCGACAATAGAAGCGGACATACACAAATACAAAAACCTAACATCATATTTTGGCCGAGGCTCGTGCCTGCGTTGCCTGTATTGAGTATCCTGCGGCGACTACTGAAATATTTAGTAGACTTCTTGACTGTATGAGCACCTACTTTGTTTTGTGGCCGTTATTAGATATGCTCGTAGCATGGTTGTTGTTGTTGTTGTTGTTGTTGTTGTTGACTTCATTAACAATAAAAAAAATTCCGATCTCTCTCTACCCAGTTTGTTGTTGTTGTTGTCTTCACATTAAAAACCATCCCGGTCTCTCTATCCAGTACCTCCTTCTGTCTCAATCTCTCCGTACTAATCCAGCACATGACTCGGTCAATTTCCGCGGTCACAGGCTAACGTACCTAGAAAAGGTGTACCAAATAAAATGAACCCCAAGGGTTGTTGTTGTTGTTGTTTGTCTTCACATCAAACCGTATGTCAGTTGCTAAATGCCAAAATCTAGCAAAAGACTCTCAGCCCGTGGTCACGAAAGTGCTAGAGCCATCTGAGGATCTAAAGAACACGCACACGTAGCAAGAAAAAGGTGTACAAGAGCCCGAAGAGGTACTACTACACCTATATATAATCCCTGCAGCACCGTACGCGTGCCCAAAACTGAACTACACGTCCGTCTCACCGTTCGACTACAGCAACATCACCCCCTACCTGTCCCACTCTGTACCAAAACGAATGATTGCCGACTACAGCATACTTGCTGTCTGAAGTGCTGTCTGTACAAAAACACCATGGTAGGCATGGAACAAGAAGCTGGCGGGGCACAAAGCTGCTGTCTGAAGTGCTGTCAGAATGTGTCTGCGGACGTACAGTGAAAAAGAACAACCAACCAAAGCCATGATTGCAATGGACAATCACCCGAACCTCTCCCGATCGTCTGTGTTAGGCACGCAGTGAAAATATCGACAATAGCTAAGAATCGTTCCACATTGAAGGGGTCTTCCACGATCAGGCACATAACCAAGGCACCCGGGTTAGCCACGCCATCTCTGACGGGTCTCTCTACAAAACCAGTGACGACGTCATCACATAGAACCAACACCGAAAATCAGGAAAAAAACGAGAAAAATTGACAACACAGATCAGATATAAATGTTTGTCCGTGCGCCACGGGTCGATGTCGCCCGCATGCTCCGGTGCCGCTGCTCCGTCCGGCGCCGCTGTAGTCAGCCCGAGCATAACGCCACTCGACCTGCTCCGTCCGTACACGCTCTCGTTGCTGTCCTTCCCAGTCGGTTCCTCGCTTTCTCCCTCGTTGCACTCAAGGTTCTTGGTCTGAAAAATAAAAATTCTCGCGCCGAAGGGGTCAACCAGCCCAGTTCAGCTCGTCGCCACCTGCTCCCTCCTCCTTTGATGGCGAAGCCAGGTTACTGAGGCAATGCAGCGCCCTCTAGCCAACCTAGGGCCGTGTACATAGTTCCCGTCCACCTTCTGACGGTGTCTGCCTCCGCGCACAAAAAATGAGATGGGCATCGCTGCCTACGCCGACGGCCAGAGGCCCGCGCATCTACATTTTTTCGCCTGACCCCATCAGTGCCGACCCAACTACACCACCACGCGCATGCCTCGCGGCGGATATGCGCAGCAGCAAGAAGGTTTCGGTCATCCCTTGAGGGTGAGTCTAGCCCTGCTCGCCAGAAAGACCCCCCCCTTCACTACAACCCATGTCTAAGCAAAAGCTTGTCGAGGAGCGAGGGGAAGAAGGGAGAGTCGTAGAGCGATAAAATACAAGAAAACAAAAGAAGAATCAGAAACAAATAAAAAAACAAATAGTGGAACTTGCGCCCCACCAGCCTGGGGGGTAGTCTTCCGGAAGGACCCCAAGGGTCAACAGTACGTGCCAGTACTAGATCGGGAGGTGGAATAGTTTTTTGTGGTGGTTGCACAAAAGTACCTGCAGTAGGCTCGTG